ACTCTATATCACCTGAAAATAATGTGACTTGGACAGAAAAGGATGATGATCATGACTATCAAGTACATGAAAATTCAGGAAAATACATGTTGCAAAATCGGAAAGTACATGAAAATTCGTGACTAATTGAGTGGAAAAAAACGGAAAGAATTTTTTTTATTGATTGGATAAAACAGCAAAACAGGTGATTTACTGTGCATTTTCAATTTCGGAAAGTACATGAAACTTCAATCACATGATCTAATGGGTATTTCGGATTTAAACTGCTTTTTATCCAGTAGCATTTGGCAAAAATCTGTAAGAGGAAATATTTTTTGTAGATGCGGAAAGTACATGAAATTTCGTATTGTTACACTGTACAACTTTGAGGGTGTGAAGCCTGCGGATTTTGTATTTTTTTCACCCCCTTTATTCATCACCATCCAATAGTTTGATCAGATTTTTTTTACTACGAATTTCTCCACATGCATGCTGATCATATTATGCAGAAGCATGATTCGGATTTTTTATTGTCAGCTAAAATTTGACCTTGGTCACGTTGAAACACAAAAAGAAATCCGAAACTCATCCCCAAATAGACAGATACTTTTTAAAAAGGAAATAATTTCTTAATCATGTGCTGGGTCCCAAACCGAACTGAAAGTGAAAAGTTTAAACCTTTAATATGATTGACATAAAATTTTAGACGTTTATACTTCATTGATTAAACAAAGAATATACTTATCTTTACATCATCATTATTATTATAAAAAAAGGTTATTCTGTAGCTAAATTTTAAACAGAAAATAAGATATAAAGAGAAGCAATAAAAGATTAAAGAGTATTAAGAATAAAATCAATATTCATTTAATATTAACCCTGTTTTAAAACAATAATATTCAAACACATTTCTATCAAAAGAACCATCGAAGAATTGAAGATAGCAAGAAAAAATATAACGAAAAACAACAGTTGGGTTAACACAACTGAAAAGTTGTTTTATTAAAAGTTATATTTTCGATAAGAATTTTCTTTGTTTATCATGAAGTCAAAGAGACAAAGAAAAATAACGAGAAGACAAAGAAGAGAATTTACAATTCTTGTTTATTAGTTACACAATTAATATTTATATAAAAAGTTATAATTCGATTTTTAGTTTAGTAATGTCATTTCCAACTTTTATTTCGATAGTAAAAATTTTAACAGATGAAAATGAATGTATTAAATTTTTATTCGAAAATAATATTTTGTATAAACCCATTGAATGTAAGAAATGTAAAGCAAATTTGTATAGAAATAATAAACGATTTACTTGTGTTAATAAAAAGTGTAGAAAATCAGTTTCGATATTCAAGGATTCCTTCTTTTCAAAAGCACATGTGAAATGCAATCTTATAATGATGTTTGGCTATTTTTGGTTATCTAAATGCAATTATAGTTCGATTGAAAAGATGACAGGCCATTCACCAAATACAATAACTGATTATATGAAATTCTATCGAGAATTAGTTATTGATACTTTAGAAGATCATGAAGAAAAAATAGGTGGTGAAGAAATCGTTGTTGAAATTGATGAATCTAAATTCGGAAGAAGAAAATATCATCGTGGTAGAGTTATTGATGGTGTATGGATTATTGGTGGTATTGAAAGAACAGAACAAAAGCGATGTTTCTTGATAAAGGTACAAAAACGTGATGAAGAAACAATCAAAGATATTCTGGAAAAATATGTTGAAAAAGGTTCTATTGTTCATACAGATTGTTGGAAAGGTTATTTGAATATCGAAGAACTAGGTTATAAACATAAAACTGTAAATCATTCAGAAAATTTTGTTGATCCTGAAACAGGTGCACATACGAATACCATAGAAGGATTGTGGAATGGTATCAAGTTACAGATTGCCCCACGAAATAGAAATAAAGATTTGATTGAATCACACTTATTCGAATTTATTTGGCGCAAAGTAAATAAGAACAGACTCTGGGAAGCGTTTATTGAAGCACTACGTTCCACAGCATATTACCAATCTGATGATATCACATTGTGACAATTGAGTTTCATAGTACACGCTAAACTATAGATCAACCGTTACAAACATTGCATAAAACAAATATAACAAATAGTTTCTAGACTTTATTCAACACACCATATTAATTACAAACATTGTATATATAAACTAAAAGGCCTTGAACCTTTTTAGCAAAGTCTAGATTAAAAGTAAATTAACTTTGTTTCTAGTTCTCTATAACATTGTATTCTATTACACTATATAAACTTTTTATATAATAATAATGAAATAATAAAGATCAGGTTTACTTTTTTAATAAATTCGACAGTCAAATTTGTTTTTTTATAATCATCATAACTAGCAATCGTTTTTATTTTTTTAAAAAAAAGAAAAAAATTGTAAACTAAATTCTTTCAAAAAACAGTAAAAACTTGAAAAATTTGAAGACTTTCCAAAGGGTTTTAGGTCGGAAACCAGGTGACTACCCCCTCGATTATTGGTTATGCTGGTGCTTTTATAGATGAAAATCAAAATAATTACTACGTAGCCCGTTGTTAAACGACAGGCTATTGGTAAGAAATAAACATAGTAATTAAGTTGTGTGTAAATATTGCAAAGGCCTTATCTCACAGAAACCCGTCAGGTCTAAATATCAAATTTGTTAGACCTGTATTAAACACCAGCTATATGTATAAAGGTCCCGAAGATCAAAAATGAGTTTTTCCGAAATTCGGATAAGCCGAACGTCTGTAGATCTCCCTCAAAAAATTATTACGCTTTGCAAAAAAAGTGTAACCCCACAATTTTCGGGATAACGATAATTGGAAATTTCGTAATATTTCTATCTATTTTGAAATCTGTAAAACTCTTAGAAATTTCCCGTGATTTTACATAACTTGATCTGCAGGGGTCCAAAGTGCAATAATCAAATTTCCCCCCTAACGTGACTTATTCCTGACCCTAAATCTTTCATTACACCTGATCTTTCGATCTAATTGGATAAAGATCACGAGGGAGGGATTTTTTTTAGAAAATATTGAACAAATATTTTCTCAATATTTGATCTCAATATTTGATTCAAATACAAATTTTGATTTGATTTTACGGAGCACTAACCCCATATGTTAAAATTTTCTTTTTTGGAATTTTGCATTTCTTGGAATCCCAAGAACATGGTTTTGCAGAAATTTGAACCTTGTTAAAATACATATTACTGTATAACCAACTAAATAACTAAAACTGATTCCAAAGAGTTAAAAAGTTGTAATCTGCTATCTCAAATAATATAAAAAGTTGAGTGGCTATTTAAAAAAATATCAGTCATAGCTGATCGATGAAATTCTATATATCGATATAAGATTTTTTTTTTTTTTGGTATTACCAGTCGACTCTAATCTTAATAGTCAGATTTCAAAAAATTTGGGCAAGCTTGCAATTTCTAAATTTACAATGCATATATAATTTACACTTCTTTCTGTAAATTATTTCATTTAATGTTAATAAATATTTTGAAACAACAATCTTCGATCATCGTGACAATGTGTACGTGCGTACTTTATTTTTTTAAAAAAAGTGAAACAATAATTCTTGAGAGTTTTATTACCTTTTTAAGATTTTAAGGCTAACTAATTTTACTTCATATTATTTTCCTTTTGGATCAAATTTAAATTAATTAATTTAACAAATTATTAACAAATTATTTTAAATTTAAGATTTATTGTTATGACACAAAAATCAAATGACCGAAGATTCTATCCAAAAATTACGATCAATCAGTTAACGCAAACTATATTTATATAAAACAAGAAACCAGATAATCCAATCAAATAATACTATAAAGTGATTAAAGTCATAAGTTGGTGGTTTTACTATTAAAAAAAGAAACATTTATTAAGGTTTGTAAACAGTTAAACAACCAATAGGTCCAAAACAACCGATATACTAAGAACGTAAACATGTAGTGTTGCAAAGTTTTAAAGCATAATACCGATACGATACTGTTTTGAGAAAACGTAATTCATTGTTATTAAATACAGATTATATGACCGAATATCGAATATCGCATCATCATTTAAGATATGCAAAAACAAACTTCCTATTGGTACCACTAAAGGTTGACTTAAAAAAAAAGACGTCAAATACAGTTAACGATAATTTGTTCCTATTTTTGTGAGTAGGCGGGTTCGCATTCTGCAGGTTCAACTTTATCGCTATCGCTATTGATACACGAACTATACATTTATAATCCATGTGAGCAACATGAAAACAAAAATTACTTAAAACGGTCTAGTATAGCAATTAATACCGGATAATAATGTTGTGTAATATCAAAGAAATAAAAGAATAAAGTATTATATTATCAAGCAAGATGTTTACATACATACTTGTATACGTGTACATAGGCACATATGTACTATGTACGTTTCATAATTACCCAAACCAACCAAATATTCATATCCTTTTATTGGTAGATACTTATGCTTTAAAGTTGCTTAATGCGTTTAATCGCGTTTCGCATGTGTTACTATTTGTGTTCTTTTGTTAGCATTTACCGTACAAGATCATAAAATAAATCTCAAAATATCTATATTTTATCTTTTCAAGAACCAATTTATTATTAAATTGATTCCGGCGCATATACCGACCGCATGTACTTTGGATCTTCCGCTCATTTATATTGTCATGACAATTTGTATATATAAAAAAAAATTACTTTCTTTGTTTCCTACCTATATACACCTCATTTTTCGCGAAAATTCTTAATAAGGAAAAAAACAATATATATAATTTTAGAGAGCTTGTTCTTGCAGTTTTATTTAAGTCTTGCAGGTTTGTTTCTTTGCTTATATGTTGACAATTGTACTTATTTCAATTAACATACATACATATAATTCGGTAATCAGGTTAAAGGCTCGAAGAAAGCTATTTTAAAAAAGTATTATTAATTGCATAACTTTTATTCTTTTCTTTATCATTTATTGCTAATTCCTATACTAGCATTTTTCTTTATCGATGGAAACTGTCTATGCCGTTCATAATTTTTATGGTGAGAATGATGATGAACTTACATTTAAAGTTGGTGATCCGATCTTAGTGTTGGAAAAGGATGAAATGTATTGGGATGGCTGGTGGCAGGTAATTATAATGATTTTCTCCGTAGTCATTTTAGATTAAAAATAAATGTTTGAAAAAATTTTCACAGGGTTAAACTAATAAAGTTTATGTCGATTTGATCGTTACAAATAAATTTTGCGTCAACTTATGTCATACCGTGTGGATTACTTATAAACGAATTATGGTTCCCCATGTAGGGACAAAATGTCCTTGGTCAAATTGGTCTTTTCCCTATGAATTATACTAGTTACGAAAAACCTATACCAAAATCTCCATATGATAATAATAATAATATGAATAAATCAAACTTGGTTGATTCAATGAAAAACAACAACAATAGTGAAACGTCTACTATTCCTGAAGCTAAAATACAAGTTCCTTCCGCAAATGAAACAATTGTTGACATACAAACCAAATTACATCAACTTGTGGCAAAGAAACATCAAAAAAATAATTCTGATCCAAACCTGGATACTCCCGTTTTTAAATCTAATTCTGCTCCAAACTTGCCAATACACCGAAGTTCTACAATTGCTCATCTACAAACTTCGTCACAACGACAATCAAAAGGATCATTACGAAGTGGTCATTCCAGTTTATCTCTTTCGTCGGGATCTAATCACAGTGAATATTCAAATTCTAGGAATAATATTTCAAGAAAAAATAGTATTAAAGGCAACCCTCTGGTTTGGAACGTAGAACAAGTATGTCAATGGTTGAAAGAAAAAGGATTCGATTCTGTAATAGAACATTTCATCGGTAAATAAACATATACAACTTAATACAATAATATCTATTTTTCGTTAGCATCAAATGTTTAGTATCTAAACTATAAAAATATTTTGTGTATAAATTTTTTAGAGAATGATATCACTGGTGATATCCTTCTTGGTTTAGACTTGGATTCTCTCAAGGAATTAAACATTATGTCGTATGGTAAAAGAATTCATATAATGAATGCTATTAATGCTCTTAAAAGTTCATCTACCTTGAATAAAGATCAAGGCAATGCAGATTCATCACAGGTAAAACTAAGTCTAGAATAAGTTTTATTGAGTAATGAATTTGAATAGTTATTGATGAAAGAAAGTTTTAATTTTGTCGACTAAGAAATTTAATATCAATGCTAACGAGATATTAATTTTACAGCTACATCCAATTATGGAATCAACACCAATTATGCAATCAAAACCAGTTGACATATCTGATAAGGTTGATACAAAAGATGAGTCATCACTAGTAACGGTAAACAGTAATGGCCATTCCGGTTTGCCGTCACAACAACCACAACAGATAAATCATACTGACGAAAAATTTCAGGTATGTTCAGGAGAAAATTAATAAATGAATCCTTAATGTTAATGAGATTTTTAACCTTGATTTTTTATTATAGGCAATTACAGAAAAAGTGCATAAAAAAAAAAGTAGTAGAATATTTTCAAAGTTAAATTTCACGAGCAAAAGTGACAAACATAATGATAAACCAGAAAAAAATGAGACAAACCAAAACATATTTTCATTTCATAAACCCGTAAGAAAAGAAAAATCACAATCTCCATCAGGAGGGTGGGATCTTTTGGTGGTATGGTCTTTTTCACGAAAAAAACAAACATCAATATATTTTATTTTTTATATTCTTATCTTTATTATTTTTTTTTTATTCCTTATTTATTTAGGATACAAACTCTGAAAATAAATATAAAAATAAACCCAAGTCTCTTTCTAAAAAAATGTCGAGAGAACATTTGGTATTTTTTTTTATCAGTTTTTTAAGTGAATCTTTTTTTTTTTTGTTATTTATATAATCTTTTTTTAAAAAGGACCGTAATAGTTTGGTCGGAAGTCAGTTAGGATTGCCGAAATATGCTAAAAAGTAAGTTTTTTTTAACAAATTCGGTTATTTTTCGGTTATTTTTTCGATCACTGACGTGATTCTTGGCTATTGTTATACATGCAATCAGGAATGGAGATAAACATGACCAAATAAATCGACTACATTCAGTTAAGGAAGGCATTGGTGAGGAAGACGAAGAGACATTTAAACATATTGGGACACCTGATTACGAAGGGTGGCTTATGAAACAAGATGATAAATATAAATCGTGGAAAAATAGGTTTTGCGTCTTAAAAAAGCAAACCTTGTTTTATTTTCAGAGTGATAAGGTAACACATTACATGTTTGATTCTTGTTATGTTTGGATATACCTATCGTATATTAACATTGCAAAAATATGGTATTTTACTTTATTTTGAATTTAGATTGCACAAACACCCCGGCTCAAAGGTACTATCAATATCATGGGGTATCGCATCATTCCTGACGAGAACATATTGCAGGGAAAATACGGATTCAAATTGGTTCATGATACTGAACGTGCTCACTACTTTGCACATGAAAATTTGGGAAAAATCAGAGAATGGTTGAAAGCTATTATGAAAGCTACAATATCAAGGGATCCAAAATGTAAAAATTCTTATCATATAAACAAATTATTTAATCATAACATGTCATGTTAACTGTTTATTTTTTAATAGCTCCAGTGTTTTCGTCAAGCGATTTAAGTACCATGTCACTCACTGAAGCTCGAAAACTTGTACATAAACAATCTGAATCAACGAATAAGAATTTAGATCCACCAGAAGGCACTGATTCACCAACATTAGAACGATCATTGTCTCCAACTCTTTATCCACCTTCTTATAATTTTAATAGGTCGAATCCACAACAACCATCTCCGAGATGTAGGTCTGTTTCACCATTACCTGAAATATCTGAAACGTCAGGACAACCGACAACAATGTCTTTGAGATCCAAAACATCATCAACTTTTAAAAAACTTGTAAAAAGTACTAGCTTTGATAGTATCACTGCTAGTTATATGTAGGGTTTTCTAACTTTAGTAATAATAATAATAATAGGATGGCGTTTAATGAGAGTATAATTATAAAAAATACATAATATATATACATCTGCATTTATACATTTAAAAAAAAAGTTGTTAGGCATTCACTTGCATTTCTGTAATACTATTTTCGTGATAAAGGGGTTTTGACCAAATTTGATCTTAGTGGATCGCGATGACAGCATCAATAAAACGGTTATGCACACAAAGTAATCTATGTTCTTTGTTTGTTTGTTTGAAAACTTTGGATTTTGTATATAATTATTGGTATAAAGATTTATCTATGCACTTTATTAATACTATTAATGTTTATACTATAATGCCAATGAAACCGGTTTTATTCTATTGTTTTTTGTTGTCAGTTTACTACAAGTTTATTATCATTCTCGTATACATAATTTCTATACAGATTTCTGAAATGCCAACACGATATATGCACCGGGTAAGTAGAACGTAATACAAGTAGACATGCATGCGATTTCTTATAAATATAGTATTAATAATAATAAAAAGACGAATCAGAGCGCATATTATTGCAGATTTTTATTTGTACTATTGTTAGTCTTATATAGCACCTTGTTTATATTATACTAACGCTAAGTTTATAAAACAAACACTATTTTATTCACACTAAACTCTATTTATTTTATTTTTATTTTTATTTTTTTTATTTTATATTTTTTTTTCCAGTTTTTTCACTCAAGTCATTCATTTATTTAATTCATGTATTCTTGCAGAATATAATATCAAATTTCACATCCCTGCTTGGGTTTTTTTTATTTCAAAAATTTCACCGCAACTAGAAGTTGCTAACTCACTCTTTTAAATTACTGGTTAAATATACCCAGGCTTTCCACCACCCTTATCCTCGTCTTTACTTTCATTACACTACACTAAAACCGCTTTCCCCTTACTACTATAAACACTCTCACAGGATCGATTCCTTTACTCACATATTTCAAAAAAAAATTCTTTTTTGGAAATAAAACAAAAACAAAAGGAAATAGGTTTTTTTTTTATAACAAATAGTTTGCTTAAAAAAAAATGCCTACTGAAGCTTCTAGCTCTAGAGACTCTTATTATTCGTCTTTATTTGACGAATACATGGCTGCTTCACCACGTGAATCAACATGGAGCCATAGTACTATGAATTCTGTTAAAAAACGTCCTTCGCTTAACTTACATCTTCGTGATGTTAGCATAAGCAGTCTAAAACGACAACCATCGTTTGATTGTCCTACTCCTGCATTATCTTCATTTAAAAATACTCCTAACTATTCAAATCCGATTAATTCAGTATTTCATTATACTGTTAACGGTGCTTTTTCACCACCACCTCATCCCAGTCCTTATGTATTTACTCATTATGGATCATATAATAATGGAACCAAAAATATTAATGGTAACATTAATGGTAGTATTGAAGAACGTACTCATTATAGTTCATATAATAATATTGGAACTAAAAATATTAATGGTGGTGGTATTGAAGAACGAGCAAATGGTTTAAATGTACCTAAAGAATATTTAAGAGAAAATAGTAGAAGTAGAACTCCATCTCTTTCTGGAAGTAGTATTAACGAAGATCGAAATAATGTTTCTAGTAATAATAATCATGCGAAACATTCTTCAGCTAGTAGTGATGAAAATGTACCAATAGGTACACCTCCAAAGCATTCTATTCCACTTCAAAATTCCTCCAATCTTCATCCTGATTCTGTAAAGGTGCAACGTGATCCATTTGAAAATGATAGGTAATATATATATGGATATATATATGAATATATTTATTTATTTATTTAAAAAACGATTCTCATTATTTTAAACTTGAAATATACTAAAATTTTCTAGAGACCGATATGGTTTCAAAAGATCTTACCAATGGATAAGCAATAAAGAATATGTAGATTTTGAAGCTTCTTATTCACATGTTTTACAACGAAGAAAAATTAAATGGGAAACAGTATTAAATGAAAATGGAGGAATGATACCAAATAAATGTTCTAAAAGTAAGCCTAAACTAGGATTTTTATTATTATTATTGTTATTAAATCAAGTTTTTCTTATCATTATTTTTTTTTCGACTCAGTGAAGAGATATGTTCGTAAAGGAATTCCACCATCGCTTCGAGGAAGGGTCGGTTTCACTTATATATATATACTTTAATAATTAAAATCATTTGTTTATTTATGCAATTAATTAATTTTGAGAAATTATCATTTTCAGGTATGGTTCTTTTATAGTGGTGCCGAAGCAAAAATGAAAAGTCATTTGGACCTTTACCAACAACTTGTACTAAAAGCTCAAGATCCTCGATTGGAAAATGAATATTTTGAAGTGATCGAACGAGGTTTGATACATTTTTTCAAAAAAGTTGTAAACTTGTACGAATATAATATAATAAAATATATTTATTTGAAAATATATATTATACAGATCTTCACCGTACCTTTCCTGAAAACATCAAATTTAAATCTACTGTCATAACTGATGACAGCAATTCACCGGTTCTCTCAACAGACAACGTTCCAATTATTCAGTCCCTTCGTCGTGTTCTCACTGCCTTTTCACTATATTCTCCAAATATTGGTTATTGCCAATCCCTTAACTATGTAGCTGGAATTCTTTTATTATTTATGGATGAAGAGAAGGCATTTTGGATGTTAGTGACTATTATTCACGATTATTTGCCAGAGAATATGTATGATGTCACCATGGAAGGTTCGAACGTCGATCAGGCTGTTCTCATGTCACTTATTATGAGAAAGATGCCTGACATTTGGAATAAAATGAATGGAGGTGCCAATTGTGATATAGAAAAATTGGATGGAAATATGCCAACAATTACTCTAGTAACTAGTCATTGGTTCTTAACTCTTTATATCAATATTTTACCAATTGAGGTAAACATAATATTTACAATTATTTGATATTTTGATTATAATTCAAATATATTTCTAATATATATACATATACGTTTAAAAAGACATTGCTTAGAGTTTGGGATTGTTTCTTCTAGTATGATAACTATATTTTTTTTTATTCCATTTTTTTATTATATTAATTGGCAACTAATATTAATTAATTATTATATTTCTATTAACAGTGAAGGTAACAAAATACTTTTTCGTGTTGCGTTAGCAATACTTAGATTGAATGAAGAAAAGATTTTAGCAGTAGATGATCCCATGGAAGTATTTCAGGTAGTTCAGGTAAATTTAAATCTTCCTTTTTATTATTATAATTATTTAGTTGATGTTGATGCGTCTTAGTAAATAAATAATGTTAATACATTTATTTATCATTTTTTAATATTTAGAATATGCCCAAGAAATTAATTGATTGTCATAAACTGATCGATGTAAGGATTTTTGTTTTTTGCTCTATTATTTTTAAAGGATTCATAAGCAGACTTTAAATGTTTATTATTATAAATATTAGGTATGTTTCCGTCGTCGTGACTGTATATCTGAAATCTCTCAAAAAGATATTGATCGACGCCGAGAACTTTTCCGTGAACGACGGAAAAAACGGGTAGGAACCATGTTGTCTAAACATTAGTGACGGGTGTTTGATAAAATATCGTCTTTTTTTTTTTTTCTTGTTTTAACCTGTAAATCATAGAATATAGTTATACAGTTTTAGTCAATATTGTTTTATATATTGGGATTTTTCACTTGCAATACGCAAGATGTGGGTATATATATAAGGTTGGGACATTATAGAACTAGTGTTATTGGGAAATGGGAAATATATTATAGATCTTTAAAATAAATTGTTTCTTTTTTTAAATCTTTATAAATTTTTACATTCGATAAATTATTGCATACCCTATTATAACCTTACAATTCATTAACTCTACCTTGTCTTTTAAAAAAGGATTCGAAAAAACCAAAGCCAAAACCAAAACATAGGAGCACCTTTATTCTGAAGATCTCCGGCTTTATATTTAGTCATGGTGATTCATGAAAACGATTGTTTCTTTTAGAATTGGTTTTTCTAAAACACGTTTTAGATAAACTTATTAACGAACAATAAAACAAATTGTTAATAAATCGTTTTACTTTTCTTTAAACGAAAAAAAAACAAGTTTTATTGTTCTAGTTTTAAGATAGTATTTTTATAAATAATTGTATAACTATTACACCTTATTTTAGTTACAAAATTTTTGATTCTAATGAATGCGTGATTCTTTAAGAATCTTATTAGAATGTTTAGTTGAATATTGATCACGAAATTATAATAGTTTATATAGAATCATATACGTTTGGTTATAGAAACCATTTTAAATGATGTTTTCAGTATTAAGTGTATATAATCATGTTTAGTTTTAAGTGTAATATAGTTATACTCATTCATAAAAAAAAATTCAGTCACTTTTTTTTTTAAAACTTTGGTCAATATATTGAACAATTTTTTAAGTTACAAAAAAATTCTAGGTACAACGGTATAGTCTCGAAATAATGAAAGGGTTGAGCTATCAGTACCAGAATTTCAAAAATTCATGATATTTAAATTTATTAATAGTTTCGTTATGTCGAGGCAAATTTGAACATAACAACTTCGTTATACGTATACGTTATATCGAGATTGTTAACTACGATTTGAAACACGTGACTATAAATTACGTAATCGATCGAAAAATTTTTCAACTCGGTATCAGGGCGGGGACGTGATCGATATATAAAAAAGGCAATTTAAAATGGCTAAATTGCACAGGTAAAATGATACCTAATAGGGTATAAATAGAACTCCCTATTGATGTCAGATTTTGGCCCATGATTCTGATTGATGTCTATTGATATCCTATTGACATCCTTTTGGCACCAAAATCTGGCAGTAATAACGATAATGGTAAATCTGGCAGCAATAAGGATGTTCATTGGTACCTTATTAGATATCATTTTACTTGTGTTGTTGGTAAAAATTTTAATCTCATAAATCATTATATTTTAATCGATTGCAATTGGGCTTCAAAATTTCCTTATGAAGCTAGTTTTTGTATAATTTTGTGGTAGATTGGTATTTATTAAATACGTAACATTTTGCTGACTATCGTGATATGATTGGTCAATACACGTCATCATAGTAAAATTCTGCAAGAAACTTCTAAAAATCTAAGATTCTGTGTTATTATTTTAAATTTTGTGATATTCTGCGATAGGGATCAGCAAAATTTCATGCATCGCACACCACGAGAAATCTGGGAACCATAATATGGGTCTTTGCCTTGAAAATCACCGTCCGACATTTCTGATCGGACAAAGCAAACCACAATACTTGTTCATGTTTACATGTGAATCGTTTTTTTATCTTTACTGGTTCAAGAGTCCATTATATCAGTAAAGATAAAGATGATTCACATAAACATGAACCAGTATTTTGGTTTGCTTTGTCCGATATATCCCGATCAGAAATGTCGGATGGTGATTTTCAAGGCAAGCCTGTGATTGGCTTATATTGATTACAGATTTTTCAATCAATTTCGATGCTTAGGCATTTTCGAATTTTACTAGTTAGTAAAATTTGAAGGTAGATTCGAATCTCGAAAACGAACAGACATTATCAAGATAAATTCACTTGAAGTTTGAGGAAAAAAAAGAAGTTAAAATTTTTAGTGTTTCTTAATCAGGCAATACAAGATATAGCATATAAATGGAATTCAACATGGAGTCTTGGCAATTTTTTAAAAAATGGATTTAAAGGAATTTAGCAAATTTTTGTGTAATAGATGTGAACACATGATTTTTGTGGAAAATTGCGGAGATTTTTATATTTCCGATCAAAATCGATAAAATTCTTCCTACGTGACTGGGGATGGGCAATGGGCAATGTAATTATTATGTAATCGATAGCTAAAATTTAACCCTTACGTATATTAAGTTATCGATTACATATATCGATTACGTAGATCGATTACGTAGATCGATTGCATATATTTATATTTTTTTTTATGTTAAAAATAAAAAAAAGATATGATCGTTGAATACAATATAATAACATATTTATATACAATTTCAAATTGCCTTTACCAAGTTTTCAAATTCGAACATTTGCTTCGCGAATTTCCAGTTAATTTTACTGGCCATCCGTTAGGCCCTCTTTGGCAAGCTTTTTATCCAATTAAAATTGACAAAAGGCCTAAAACCAAATACATGTTTGATAAGCCTATATCCGACTCTGCCGTAGTAATGGTTCTCATATTGTCATGGCAGATTCTAAATTTTGATTGGCTAAGAGCGATGATCAAAAAAATTTGACTGAAATTACTCAAAATTTCTAATAAGATCACAACCGCCTATTAAGTGAAAATTGTTCTTTGACTAATTTTACCATTGTGGGGTCTATTTATTTAAAAATTTCTATTCTTGGAATGAAAAAGTTAAAAAGTTAATTCCGGCCGGAAATTAGCATCACGGCTAATTTTATGTGTGATTTAAATAGTAGAACCGATTACTTATAACTCTGGTCAAATTTGCAGATCGTTTGACCAATTCCGGAGTTTTATGATTCCAAATCTGGCCAAATGATCTGCAGATTTGACCGGAGTTATAAGTAATCGGTTCTACTATTTAGATCACAATCAAAATTAGCCCAAATGGGGGCCAAAATCGAGGATCTGCGTGACAATTTTGTTGCGGCAGCTATGGTTAACAGACTATGTCATAAAATATAGTTATAACCCAGTTACACACGGGTTCATATTCCGTGCCGAAGGCACGAGATTTAAATATGAACTCGTGTATGTAACTGGGTTATTCACTACATACCCGTACAATAATTATCTTATTACACGGTGTCTGACGTAACAATCCCGTGCCAATAAGTAAATGAAAAAAGCACGGGTTGTCACATAAGACCCGTGCAATAATATTTTTTTCCTATATGACCTTGGTCATATAATAATATGACTTTTTGGTCATATTAAATGCTAATGAAAAAATTTTTTACTATGACCAAATGACTTATGACAGGTCATAAAGGTCATTTAAGGTCATAGGACAACATTGATGGACAAGTCTGGTCCAGCCCTAAGAAGACCGGTCTATTGATGTTTTTCGGTCCCAATAACGGTCCTTAATTATTTAAACCTCTAAACATCTTATTGGCTAGCGGAAAAATCAAATCATATGACGTCGGCAGTTGAAAATAAAAAGATTATGTAACATATTTTTTTAATTCTATTTGTCTCAAGACCGGGGACCGGTTAACCATAAGACTGGTTAAAAAAAGACCGGTCCTAATTCGGTCTTTTCAGGACTGATCTGTCCCTATTTAGAAGTTCGAAACTATCTTATTAAAACAATAATTTATAACATACAACGAGTGTTTTAAAAAAATAAATATTTAATTTGGAAGTTTCCTATTTGATACGTATAATATAACAATCTTGGCATTTATCGCCGGTAGCGATACCACCACCTCTCTTATTTCTTTTATCAAATTTAGGGTTAGGGCACAATTTTAGACCAAGGTTGGGTTAGATATAATAAAGGTCCAAATTTCAGTTAGGGTTAGGTTTTTGAGGTCATGAACATTTTTACTTAGTACCTCCGACATGTGTTAGCTAGTAGATTTTTGAGATATAGTATCCCTGGCGATATCGCCACCAGCGGTAAATAACAATATATTAATTATAATAATATTTGTATTTAAATAAAATTATTTATTATAACGAAATTTAAGAATATGCAAGAATATGTAAGAATATTAGAATATTTAAGTATATACATATAAAAATTTTGCCCATCCCTATACATGACATCGTGATCCGCAAAGGTCACATCTTTTTGCGAAGCACAAAAGAAACATTCTGTTTCCTGTGATCACAGTAAATCATAGTCCTTGTTCAGCATGTTATTCATAAATATATTCGAATATAGAAAGTTTTATGAATATTTATGAAGATTCATTCATTGTAAATATTCGTAACTATTATGAATATTCATAATAACTATTATGAATATTCATATAATAAATATTATGAATATTCATATAATAACTTATTATGAATATTCATAATAACTATTATGAATTATCATAATAATTATGAATTTACAATTGTTACGCATGAGTATTCATAATGACAGAATTATTATGCGTATTCGTAAATATACGTATTCGAATACATTACATATATATTTATGAAGATAAACACGAACATCACACGTGGTCATCTTTGGAGTTCTTGGAGTTACTACGTACATACGCGCATTATACCACACCTGTGTCCAAAACTTACAGTAAATATGTACGCATTTGTAAAAATTAATATGCTTAAAATTTTTAAAACAAAACACTAGTTCTCATGGTACGAAAATAATGATGCAAGGAAAAATCTCAAGGAGTGCAGTTTTGTTTCCGGAAAGGTTTTCAAGGATGTAGTACCGTGTGTATATGTACATACATAGATACGTATGGTCTCTCCAATCCGGCATATCCCATGCGAGGAGTAAAATTTCCATCAAGATTTTCTATCATCTCTTTCACTCGCGTTCTTTTTTTTTAAATATTTTTTGTTTATTATATATATATATATATGTATTATTTTTACTTTTATATTATTACAGTATGATTTTTATAATAAACAAACGTTTCTAACGTGAAAATTTTTTTGTTATTACAAATAGATAAATAGAGAATGAACTTATTCTCCTACTTTTTTGATTAAATTGTTTTTTTTTAAGAAAACAAATTGATTATATAATTTGTATAAAAAAAATGTTTTTTGAAATTTTATAATTACTATTATTACTAATATTACCAATAGATAAAAAAATTGTTTTCAAAACAATTTACTTTTTCCTAAATAATTATATATGTTTTTGTTGATTATTCTTAATTTGATGTTTCTTAATTATAGGAACTCATATTTGGATACATGGGTGTATTCTGAATAAAGGTTGTCGATGATGATCCCATAGTTGTTATGTAAGGATTCTGTTTTTCTTTAACAAATGTTGGTGGAGGAGGGCGAAGTATTGGGGGTGATAATATTGCAGTGGGAGAGAGTGATGGACGTCGAGGTTGCGGTGGTCGTGGTGACATTTTACGAGCATCAGCTAATGGAACTGTGTTTATATTACTTGAACTGATTACTGGTGCTTTAATAGATGCAAAAGAATTGATTAATATAAATATTAATATAATATTGAGATAACATTAATGAATATATTAAGACTTAAATATACCATTATGGTCACGAGATATCGTAGCTTTCATCATTGCCTTTATCCATCCTTTCATTACATCAATGTCCTCATGTGCAAAAAAATGGGTTCGAAGCATGTCATGAACTATCTTGAACCCATATTTTCCAGGTAATATATTTTCATCAGTAAAAATGCGATATCCCGTTAAGTCAATATGACCTTTTACTTTGGGATGTTGGATATTCTACAAACGGTATATGTGATGTGAATACTATTAAATAATGGGGTAATATAATACCATAATGACATGATGAGATTAAATACCTTATTATTCTTAAGATAATAGAGATCTGCTCCTTTCAATATAAAATAACGTGACTTCCATGTTTTATATTTATCGCCTTGTTTTTTAAGCCATCCTTCGTAATCAGGTTCGCCAATGGATTTCAATACTTCCAAATCAATAGCGCTTAAATCTTCGATGGCTTCCCATTTATTATATTGATGAGGACTTTCAGGTCTATTAATGCTAAATAACGATCATAACAATCAAATGAGTCAAAATGTAATGATTTCTTGAATATTAATAAATTCAAATATTCACTCTAAAGACTGTTTTGGGATCATCAAAGGGCTCCCAATAATGCTATCTCCCTAAATGATAAATTATAAGTAAATAATTTTAGTAGATCAATAATGGATTGTGATAAAAATTTATAGATATTGTAGATAGGTCACAAATAATTACCGGATGCTTCTTCCTGCTAAATCTTAATCCTCGATTTTTCTCCAAACTCGGAGAATTTGGTCGAATATTATCATTAATAAATTGATTCCTTATCACATTGTCTTCCTCATTCTAAAAAAAAAAAAGGAAAAAAGATTAGACGATTATAAATACAATTATTATCATAATTATAATATACAAATTTATTTTAAATATGAATATTACCAAATTGATATCATATCCACCTTCAGAAGATGTTCGAAGTTTATTTCTTTTTTCTTTGGACTTTTTTAAAGAATTCCACTTTGATAAAAGTTTGATTTTTTTAGATTTAGGGTTAACCGCCTGTTTATGACAATGATATTAAAGCTTGAACATAAACATTGATACAGAGTCATTATAAAAATTTTATAAACACATTACTTCAACATTTGCGACATCAACATCTTCAATACGTTTAAATTGAGTATAAGAAGCAGGATTATTGCTAGCAGAATTTCTGGGAGATTCTGGAAGACCAGGAAATTTCCTAAAGTCATGATTAGCAGCGTATCTACCTAACACAGGGCTGCTGGTGTTATATTTAGGTTGAAAACGATAAACGGGAGTTGGCGAATATGGTTGAACAGAACCGGAATACTAACAAAAAAATTAAATTAATTAGGAATGGAAATGTAATTACATAGATATGAATGATAAACTTTACTAACCTCGTCTATATCCGATACATCATCATCAGGACCAACCCCAATTGAATGTTTGGCTTTAAGCGCATTTATGGCATTCATTATGTGTACGCGTTTTCCGAAGGAAAGCACGTTTAACTCTTTTAACGTAGATAAATGAAGCTCGAGGAGAACATCGCCAGTTATATCATTATCTTAAAGAGTGCAAAATTAACAATTAATAATGATAAAGATAATTAACAGTTCACAATAATAATAAAGATAATTAACAGTTCACAATTCATAATTAACAATTACCGATAAAATTGTTTATCTCAGAACCAAAACCGACCTCATCTAACCACCGACAGACCTGCCTTACATCCCAAGTTGATGGATGATCCTTTATCTGAATGCCTTGTTTCGGAGTTGATACAAATTCATTGGAAGTTATGGGAGAAACTAAATCAGCATGTGTAACATTTTTTTTTGTACTTTCAGTAGATTGCCGATGAGACGAACTGCTAATGGTACTGACAGTTCTTGAAGAAGACGACGATGATAAAAACAATCTGCTGCGACGACCTTGCTTTGGTGACCATGGATATTGTTGTGGTTCAGAATTATTTTGATTTAATTGTTTTTCATTCGATCTTACACTCATTTTTTTTAACTTATTTTGTATATCATCGATGGTTTCTTCAATAGAAGGAGTTGGCATTCTAAAAGGAGGTGAAGGGACATTCAAATCTGAATTATTTAAATTCATATCATTAGGAGTAGAAACCATTTGGCTATAAAAACTATTATAACTATTATAACTATTATTAGTGGGATCCAGTTGTATTGGAACGGGTTTACTATAACTAGTATGATTCATTGGGAAAAGTCCAACTCTTCCATGAATGTTTTTTCCCTGCATAATGTAAAAAAAAAAAAAAAAAGACAATAATGTAAGTTAAATGGAATTCGAAAAAAAAGGAAAGTGAATTCATCATGTGAAACTATTATTTTTATTATCTCGCTTAACATCAACAATGTAAGTCAAGAAAAAAAATCCCCGAATTCATTTAATACCAAGAAAGAAAGATGAAGATTCACCTTCCACCAACCATCACCATATAATTCATCTTTTTCTAAAACGATGATCGGTTCTCCGAATTCAAAAGAAACCTCATCTTCACTCTCCGCTTTGAATGGATGAATTGCATATACAACTTCCGACTCCATATTAAAAACAAACTTAGTTTAATATTAATAATTATTAAGAAAAAAAAAATTATTTATTTGTTTTTTTTTTATCCTTCACTCTCGTTACTATAATGTTTAAATTATCTAAAATAAATAAAAAATCGATGGTTTTACAAAAAGTTGTAACACACATACGAATACTTTACTAGCAGAAAGAAAGAGAAGAAAGAGTAGACGATACAAAGAGTAGACTACAAATTATAGCAAATTATAAAAAACCAGCTTTGTTTTCCTTTTTTTGAAATTGCATGCAGGGTTTTTTGGTAGGAAAAAACTCCTAAGAAATGTTAAAAAAAAAAGTAATAATTAAGGAAGTAGTATTTAAAACAGAATTTATTTGTTTATTGATCAGCTTGAAGCTCCGACGTTTCGAGTTTCGGACGATACTTACTAGGACTAGCACATTAAATGCAAATGGATAGTTTACAATGAGAACGTGACATTATCCACTCATGCATTGTCACGATTGTTCTACAGTTATTCTTTAAAGGGAGAGTTGCACACCCTAACTATTGTTATTCCTTTACCAGGTACTATTTGTCTTACTATATGACAAAAAAAGTTATAAGCAGAGTTATAAACTAAGTTAGCATTTAAACAAGATAAATTTCTTGTTTCATGTATCGCTTTGGTTTTAGTTGACCATACCAAACTATAAAAAATAACTTGTTGAAGTAATTTATAATATGCAGAGTTATTACGGTATTCGGTACCAAGGTATGTCTAAGATAACGATAACCATAGAAGGAATAACTTCAGGCTAAACAAAGCGGTTTCAGATCCTTTAGTTACAAACTATACAATCGTGTAACAAAGGATTGTATATATATATGTATATAATATCGATATTGTATATGTATTTAATATTATCATTATCGTTATATATATAGATATTATATATAGATATAATATTAATAAGTTATATACTGCAACTTACATAATTACAAAGTAATTTTATTGATTGATTGTTGTTCTAAATTGCGACTTACATTCTAATATTGCTGATTCTTTTAAAATGTATATTTATCACTTGATCTTTTTTAAAGATGTATTTAGTTACCAAGTTTACTATATAATTGACAAGGGGTAAAAATAAGCTCAGAAACGTGCGTATTCAAATGAAATCATTTGACGTTTAATTATGACAATTATTAAAAATATTAAATTATTAAAAATGTTAAAAATGTTAAAAATGTTAAAATGTAAAAATATTAAAATATTAGATTATTGTTAAATTGTTTGCTCAAATGTTTAAATATTGATAATAATAATAATAATGGTATAATGGTGTGATGATTATTAACAAGGAACTATAAATTCGAGAAACGCGTACTTTTTATATAAAATCTGCCGCGTGTCGAACTTATTAATTTTTATTGATACTTCAAAGATCCAGTAGTCGATGCATCGATGTAAACGAAATGAAATGTTCTTGGTGATTATTTTATTATGATGATTCAAGTGTTCCACCTAGCGCAACGCACTTGTAGCCTTTAAAATAAAAATAATAAACATGCATTAGCCTTATCTCTGTGGCATCATGAAAATTTAACGTCTTTGCGAATATTATTCCTTTTTCAAAGAAGCGGAGTAAACGGTGTTCTCACTTAACCGTTTCAGAATTCGTCGAAATCCTCAAAGATGTCTTAATAATCTTATCGAAAACATCAAATTTACTAAAGATACGATCTACCATACCAGATGTGTGCACAAATCAATTTTTATTTTCTGTTGTCATCTTTTTGCGGCGATCAATCCATAGCTCGTCGAAACGTAGCCACAGCTCCTAAATTAGTGTACAGCAATGAATCATTGTTCACATTTTATTATTATCTCTCGTGAGAAAGGCCGGATTTAATTTAATGTATTGTTCTTATGGGGATTTCGTTCCGGGAACCGCTTATTTTTAAACTTTGTCGCGTATGCTGCAAATGATATTCCTTTGATAATCAAAATAGTAATGAATGAAAATTGTGGAAAAGTTCTCGAGAGTTATTTTTGTTTCGGAAAACAAACAAAAAGATCATTTGTAACAAGTTCTCAAAATTGGCTAGCATTTCATATGTTCTCTATGTTTAAATTCTTTCATTGCTCCTGGCGTCATGAACACTTTACCATATATAGTTTCACTATCTTTGTTCTTATTGAAGGATTTTAGTGCTATTTGCTGAATCCTTTCAATTCAAAAAATGGTTTTCTCTACGGACATGTATTGAAATAATAATAAGGTTTCTATAGGAAAAAGCATAAAAAGATATATATAAGAACCGCAGTGCCCTTTCATCAAAAAAAAAAATATATATATATATTCTCTATTTTCTTAAAAAACAAATTGATCCCATTGATCCCATTCTTATTTAATAACGTGAAAGTTGCTATGAGTGTTAACTTTGAATACACTAACTTGTCATTTACGCCCATTACAACTGTCCCCCCAGCGAGGATACCGTTAAGTGATGGTCAAGAAATTGTGTTTGAAGATTGGATGCTTGATTTAACTGTCGAAGATTTTGTAAAGGCCGGTTTGATCCCGATAGATAAAGCAATATCGTACGTCAAAATATTTATTATAATACTAGTACTAGATGTTGATATGAATGGCAAATGATTTAAAACATTCTATTTGAAATCAATTTTATATTTTTTTAAAATATGTTTTAAAACATCGTCACTGATATTGATATCATGATTAATAATAATGATATGATGGTTATAATCATGATTATAAATTTGAATCTTCTGATTCTTATCAACAATGTTTTAAAACATTTTTTAAGCCAATTTAAAAAAAAAACATAAAATCATTAAAACGCGTTCTTTTGTCATCTCTAGATATTTGATCCTATCATAAAATGATGGATCATATAATTCTCTGTCTTCTTTAATTGACTTGTTAAATTTATTTTTAGTCTCATGAAGCAATGGGAGGCCGAAGATAGAATGGCTGCTTCTGTAGATTATCACCCTCAAATCATCGAAATTTTATCAAATCCTCACATATCAGCTCGTAATCATTGTGTAAATTGTAATACCACTAAATCACCAGCTTGGAGAAGAGATGATCTTGGAAAACTCCTCTGTAATGCCTGCGGATTATAGTATGTCATTAAACTTCTTAATGTCAAATTTCAATTATCATTAAGTCATTTATTTATTCTATTTTATTTTATTTATTTTTTTTTGTAGTTTTAAGACCCATGGTAGGAACAGACCAACCGATCAGATCAAATGTGGCACTCTTAAATATAAACGACCAAAAAAACAACGCATTTGTAAGAATTGTGGTGTTAATGAATCGTCTTGCTGGAGGAAAAATGGTACTTTGTGTAAGTACTTCATCCCATCTGGTATTTCTGACTTCTTCGTTCGCAAATGTTTTTCCCTCATTACTTTTAACTTATAAGGCAACAAATGCGGTTTACATGAAACACAATATGGACATTCAAGACCATCATCCTTAGATAAATTAGTTAAACAACAAAAATACAATGTCCAAAATCATTAATGACCTAATTTTCATATTATTGTACTTTGATTTTCAGACTATCGTTATACTGTATATATGGGGATCCATAATTTTGTATAGTTTTTGTTCTTTTGCTTTTCATGCATATATGTACATTTGTATCTATGTATCTATGTAATTTTTGTCCAGTATCAGTAAATTTTAAAAAAAAAATTTTAAAAATGTTTATATATTTTTAGGACTCTACAATTTTTTGTAGCTTCGTTTTAATTATTTATCTGTTCATGAATGCAGACAGATCCGTTTATAAATCCAATTCCAGCAAAAGCTTACTATAACGAGCTTCTTTGGACATAAAAAATTGTATTTATTATAGAGTTTGGAATGTGTAGATCTTGTATGTTCGATAAATCAATTTCATTTGTACAATTTAGATTATTATTTAGTAATTTTAGAATATTTTTAATCATCTATTCTGGTCTAATAATAGTGGTTTTGTCTCTTAAAAAGCGAATAAAAAAGATTTCCCTTCCAAAAAAAATATTCAAAAAAAATAAATAAAGGATTAATAAAAGTACACTCCCCTGACATAAGTCACCGGATTTTTTTAGTAACAATATGACGATCTTTTTTTTTTGCAGGTTTTTGATTTGTGAATTCTCAGCAAACTACATATTAATTCGGGTCATAATTTTTTTATTTAGCAGCTATATATATAAATTTTATTTACATAATTTAATACCGTGTAGGGTACCTATTAGCAGCAATTACAGCAAGACTACGTTGACACATACTTTCAACAAGATTTTTTAAAATTGAACCATCGATTTTAAATCATTCTTTCTGGAGCAAATTGAAGAGTTCTGACTTATCACTTGGTAGAAGAATGTACTTACATATGAGTGCTGCCAAGGGAAAAAGGCTGTTCAGACTTTTAATATATTTTGTGTATAGTCAACCATCTATAGAAAATTTATCATCATAGTAAAATTTCTGTAAATGGATAACTGTACACAAAATATATTGAAAGTCCAAATAGTCTTTTTTCCATGACAGCACTCATATATGACACTTAATTAATCTCACAAAAGTTCAATAGGATTGAGATCAGGATTATATAAGAGTCATGGAAGTTATGTAATATGATTTTTGTCAAACCATTTCTGAAAAAATTTGGAAATGTGAATTTTAGTATTGTTGTCTTGAAACATATAATTTTTTGTGATTGATTATGTTTATTAAATTGTTTAAATATAATATATAACAAGTTTCAAGAACTTTTATATAGTCTTTCAAACTTATTCTGTTATAAAACTGAACTAAAGGTTTAAGATCATATATGTTAAAACATTTTCAAACTATTATGTCTATTCTTCCTGATCTAAATATTAATACTAAATATTCAATATTATATTTTTTTTATTTTTCTCCAAGTATACTTATGATTATCCTTTTCAAACACTTCAAACTTCAATTTATCACTCTAAATAGTATTTTTCATCTTTTATTCTAACTTACTTTTGTGTCTATTTAATTTATATGAACTATATAAGACTTCTCATTTATAAATAGTCTTCTTAAAGAATGTGATAACCTAGTGAAGTAAATAGGTTGTCAACCCTCAAGTGACAGGTCTAAGGTTCAATTCTTACAGATAATGAATTTTGGAAATTATATCTATGTTATGGTAACTGTCTCTTGTCAATCAGTTGGGTTTTGGGTATCTGTAATCTTAAATACACCAAGTCAGGCCTTACCTGACATTGGAAGCTCAGGGCATCTATATAAAATGTAACATTACACATATATAGAAAAATATAAAAAACTGATATCAGATAAGGTTTTGATACAAACCTATGATAAGACCATCAGATGTAGAAGGCTAAGAAACTAAAAAGACAGAAACCCACTTAGAAATCCTAAATAAAGAGATAGCATAAACTTTCAATAATATCATTAAACTGATAGAAGCTTATGAAACACCTTCATAAAAACTGTCAGATAAACTAAATGACAAGATGTATAGAGAAGCACATGACCAACTAGGCTATCAGAATCACTAAAGAAAAAGAATATATAAGTATACCATACTGGACCATCTGGATTGGAAGTCTAGGAAAGTCTGTTGTTGGTTCCAAGTTGCGGCTAATAGAGGATAATAAAAAAGAAATCAGAAAGATGAGTACCAGAGTTTAGGTAAATTTTACAAGGGTAATAGCAGTTTAAGGAGTAACTCTGACTATAAGTGTTAGCCTTGACCATAGCATCAAATCAGATTAGTGGTAAAAGAAAATATGGCTCACTCTGGTAAGTTTACTTTGAGAATAAAAATAGTCTAAAAATTATAGTCCTATGGTTAAAAGTAAATAGATCTGAGTTTGTGATCTGGTGGAATTAATATCAGGATCTGATCAGAGAGTTTAAATAGAACATCTAAGCAAGGGTGTTAGATACAGCAACTGGTAGGAAACCTTTAGGTGGACTTCTTAAATAGGTAATATAGAAAAGTTACATATGTAGACAGTTGTATACTTGTCTGATAGTTCATTATAGATATGTCTATATAAAACATATACCAATATAAGTATTAATAAAAAACTATGACCAAAGAGGTTACCTTAATACTGAAAAAAAAAATAGTTTTTTTAAACTAATCTAACTATAAAATCTTTTATTATAAAGATGTTATTATATAGTTTATATAAAACATGCATCTATTTACCTATCAGTTTATATAATATTAGTTAATGATCTATACATAATTTATCAATTATAATTTAATACAAGATATATATGTTCTAGTAATATCTATATACAACCTACCCAATCAAAAATACATTATACAGATTTTTTTTTTTATAGATTCTTTATATATAATATAGAAATACAAGTTATAAGTTATATATATATATGTATATAAAACTTATTGAAATTTTTTAATAATTAATTTAAAGGCACTATACTGATCTTTTAAGTTATTATTAATTAAATATATTAAATATATAAAATTTACTTAACTACTAATAAATTAAATGACAGATACAAAATTTATATATTATTATTTATAGTAGATGATAGCTATTATGTTTAATAAAATATATATATTTAAAAAAATATATATGTTTATTGAATTAAAAGAGATAGTATAGTTTTATATTAGCTTTTTAAAAAAGCTAAATAATGAACATAAATTAGATAAGTTCTTAATTTTTTTTTTTATGTTTTTATTTTTTTTATATTAACTATTTTTATTGTCTTTCAATAAAATAATTGGTTCTATCTAGTTTAGAGTTAAGAATAAAACAGTCATCATATAAGCCAATTTGTAATTTTCTTTTTATTTTAGCATTTACAATTGTCTTAAAATTATAGCAATTATCAGATCTCAGTCTTTATGGTTATTCTGATTTTAGACTTTTTAGATTGCAATTATCTAATCTTCAAAAGAAATACTTACAACATTGTTTAGTTTAGATTCTTTAATCTTTTGCAAGAATAAAACTTCAGATACTAATATCAAATAAAATTTTTTATATACAAAAAATATATGCTTACATGCCAATTCTACAGTATTTAAAATCTGGACATATGTATTTTAAATGCATTAGTTTTATATTAATATCTTCTTGAATATTATCTTTAATATTAATTTTATAACTATCATTATTTGTAGTTGAATTTACAAGATAATATTATCCAATAGGCATCGCAAAACTATTCAAATCTAATTCTACAAGTTCTTGACATCACTGCTTCTTTTGATAAGACTTCATTCTTCTTATTATTAGATTAACAGCCTTATATTCAAACTTTGTATCTGTTAAAGCAGCCTATAAGGTCCAGATAAAAGTATCAATCTAATAATTTTGTTTAGCATCAAAGTATAAATATTTAAGTTTTTGTGTTATGATTTAACAAAATTTATAGTATTTATTTCTTGATGCTTATATAATCTATAGACATTCATCTATCTTTTATAATTTTTATAATATTTATACTTTAAATATTTAACCTATTCTAATTCATCAAATTTAGTCTATCAGAAAAATTATTTATTAAACTCAAGTTATACTTTTAATGCATTATAAAGCTGTATTATAGCACTAAGCTCATTTAAAACAGTTTTTTATGTTATCTGCTTTTTTGTTTACTTGTAAATTCTATTATTACAAGCTTCAAAATGATTATTAATAATCTTTATTTTATTTTTATTTTTTTGTCAATATTTTTTATATATTATTGACAAAGTAGAATTATTATATTAAAAAAAACTTAGATAATAACTTTTTGCTATACATTATTACAGTCTGTTAGAAAAGTATAAGAAGCATACTCTTTATTTTGGTTTTTTATATTTATAAACCAATAAATTAATATTTTACTGGTTTTTTTTTCAGAAATTAGATGCATAATAGGAACATCTTGTTTACCAATATCATTATATATAATGATAGTAAAAAGATTTGTTTTATATGCCATAGTTCTATGTGTTTTATCTAAACATACAGTTTGTGCACTTTTATGTTTTAGCATTTGTCTTTAAAATTCTGTTTAAAACCCATATATATAATCTAATTTGGAGCCACAAATTAGGTTACTATAAGTGTATAATCCATCTTTCTAAGACAGAGCAACCCATTTATTAACAGAAATATCTTCATCATAACCTTTATCCTTATTATTTAAAATAATTATTTTTTTTATTTATTTATGAACTATATAATAGATATTAATATAAGAAAGATATGCATTCTGTTTGAGTTAAAGATAAGAATTTTAAGCCATTAGTATTACAAATTCTATTAATGCATTGATAAAATATTACTATAATTTATGTCGATTTCATTTCACTTTTTGCTTTTTTTTAATTCATTCTTTTGCCTATAAAGATAAATGAATATTGTACAAATTCTTATCAGCATTTAGTGAATATCTATTATAAAGAGTATAATAAATAATTTTAATTAAACTTCTTTCTTATTGGAATGCTTTAAT